AATCATGATACTCATTTGGAAAAATAAGAGACCCAGGATAAATAATATCCAAATATAAGAGATCCAAAGCAATCCTTAGTAAAAAGAGTGAAGCAGGTGGCATCACAATACCAGACCTTAAACTATATTATAGAGCCATAGTAACAAAAACAGCATGGTATTGGCAACACAACAGAAGGCCCAAATCTACATGTTGCCTTAGGAACTGACTTCCTTAACAAGTCTTGTAAAGCACAAAAAGTGAAGAATCAATAAATGGGATGGATTCAAACTAAAAATCTTCTCAGAAAAAAAATAATAACATGAAGAAAGAGCCAATGAAATGGGAGAAAATCTTTACCACACATACTTCAGATAAAGCATTAATCTCCAGGATATATAAAGAACTCAAAAAACTTAACACCAATAAGACATGACCCAATCAATAAATGGACCAAGGAACTAAACAGACATTTCACAGAAGAAGAAATACAGTCAATCAACAAATATATGAAAAAAATGTTCAACATCTCTAGCAATTAGAGATTAGCAAATGCAAATCAAAACTACTCTAAAATTTCATATCACTCCTGTCAGAATTACAATCATTAAAAATACAGGAAACAATAAATGTTGGTGAGGATGTGGGGGAAAAGGTACACTCACATATTGCTGGTGGAACTGCAAATTGGTTCAACCATTCTGGAAGGCAGTATTGAGATTCCTCAGAAAACCTGGAAAGGAACCACCTTTTGACCCAGTTGTCCCATTCCTTGGCATATACCCACAGGACTTAAAATCAGCATACTACAGTGGTGCAGCCACATCAGTGCTTACAGCATCTCAATTCACAATAGCTAAATTATGGAAACAACTTAGATGCCCTTCAACAAAGGAATGGATAAAGAAAATGTTGTATATATACACAATATCATATTACTCAGTCTTAAAGAAGAATGAAATTATGGCATTTTCAGGTAAATGGATGGAACTGGAAAATATCAGTTATTCATATATATATATATATATATATATATATATATATCCAAATATATCAGAATATTTTGATTAGTAAAGCGAAATAAGCCAATCTCAATGAACCAAGGCCAAATGAACTCTGATATTTGGATGCTAATTCACAAAGGGGGATGAGGGGGATGGCTAGGGAAGAATAGGGTACTTTGGATTAGACAGAGGGCAGTAAAGGGAGGGGAGAGATATGGGGGTAGAAGAGATAGTAGAATGACTCAGACATTATGATCCTATGTGTATATATACATGACCAGTGTGATTCTACATCATGTACAACTAGAAGAATGAGAAATTATACTCCATTTATGTAAGATGTGTCAAGATGCATTCTACTGTCATTTAAAACTAATCTGAACAAATGAAAAAAGAGACTTTATTTGTCTTTGGCTTTTGACAATTTATTATAATGTGGCTCATAAAATATTTCAATGGTTGATATTCCTTGGGATCTATTGAACTTCACAAATCTGGGTGACCATATTCATTCCAAGATTTGCAAACTTTTCAAACAGTGCTCTTTGAAATAATGAATTTTCTTTTATTTTTCTTCTCCCTTTTTGACATCCAGAATCAATACATTCATATTTGGGATGGTATCCCATTAGTCAAAATAGTTCATAGATTACCATTCAGGTACTGTATGCCTTCTTTCTTTCCATATTTTTTATTATAATTTGTTGCTCTACTAATTGGTTAATTTTAGGTAAATCTATTTTAGGTTTGCTATTTCTGCATAGTTGAGTCAGCTGTGGAAACTCGCTATTGAATTTTTAAACTTTTAGTTATGTGTCTACATTGTTCTCTTAATTTTATTATTTACCTAGTGCTTTCTTGATCTTCTTTGAGATTCTTTAAAATGATTCTTTTGAATTCTCTTTTAGGGAATTTGCAGATCTCCATTTTGGGGTTGGTTATTAGAGTTTTATTAGTTTCCTTTGCTGATATTCTATTTGCCTGATTCTTCATTATCCATATATTCTTGCACTTATGTCTGCATTTGAAAGAGCAGATACCTCTTTTAGTCTTTACAACCTGTTTTTGACAGCTTAATGACTTCTGTTTTGTTTCTGGGATGATGAAATTATCTCCAAGATAACAGTCAAATAAGGTTGGAGATTCTGTGTCTACCGTGGCATCCATGGTTGTTGGGCCTGTTATTAGGCCTCTAATGGACATGGATTCTGTCCCATTTCAGACTCTGTCTAGGACATTGGTTTACAGGACTAGTGCCTCAGGGTGTACATATGGTGGGGCTAATAATAGGTATGTGATATTGTGACTTTTGGGGGGTCCTTGAGAAAGCCTCCACTGTCATTGGGTGGGTTACTGGGTGGACAACACTGCCCTGGTCCACAGCTAAGAGGGGATGGAATGGAGTCCCAGGGCTTTGTCAGTGTCTATAGTTGAGACCAAGTTTTTCATGCTTTGGGTTCATGAACATTCTATTATTTATTTGATGTGTAACTGGCTAGGGACGACTTCGCTCAAGTCGCAGTCGAGAAGGACTTGAACGGAATTACAGGGGCATTTAAAGATCCACAGCAAGACCAAATTCAGCAGGTCAGATCATAGTTACTGCTGGTGACCATGTCTAATTCAGGTCCCTGTGGGGGTGGGACTGTTCCCAAGCTACAGTGGAGGGGTGGAATTTTGATTAAATGCCTTATTAATATATCTTCTGTTACTATGGCAAAATTCAAGAGGATGTTTAATACATAAGGTAAAGAGTTTTATTTTGGTCCATGGATCTAGAAGCTAGGAAAGTGCCAGCAACTGGTCTTTTGATGAAAGACACATGCTACTCCAGAGTGTACATACGGAATAAAGGGGTCATATGGTGAGAGAACAAGCAGAGAGTGAGTCAAAGAAGTGAATGAAACTCACTTTTTTTTTAAGTTTCAGAAATTTATTTATTTATTTTATGTGGTGTTGAGAATCGAACCCAGTGTTTCACATGTGCTAGGCAAGTGCTGTACCACTAAGCCACAACCCCAGCCTGTGAAACTCACTTCCTAAACAACTTATTCGTATGCCAACTAATTCTGCCTCACAGGTACCACATTAATTCCTTCATGATGGGAGAGCCTCAATGACCCAATCACCTCTCAAATGTCCCACTCCTCTCAACACTGTTACATTGGCAACAGAATTTCAGAGTGAGTCTTGGCAAGCACAAATCATATCTAAATCATAGCAGGGTCTATTTCTGATGTCAGCAAGCCTGTTCTGGGAATGTAAATGGGTATATCTCCCAGTAGGTTCCTGAGGGAACAGGATTGATCCCAGACTGAAGCTGAGAGGGGCCAGAGTGAAGGTACATGGTAGTTCCATGGTCTGAGCTTGGACTGAGGTCAATCAACCTGTCTTTCAATGTCCTAGTGAGTATGACTCCTTCCAGGTCCCTTGGTAGATGGTTTTGGTAGCAGGATCAAAGTCTGATAGGTTGTAACTGAACTCAAAGGGGATGAGGTTATTTCTGGGTCTAGGGTGGGGACCCCTTTCAGCAAATCCCCCACATGGGTGTGAGTCTACCCTCTTAAAACACTCCTCCTTGATCTTGGTCTTCAATAGAGTTTTCAAACTCCTACCTGAATTCCAAGGTATTTCATCTATGGATGGCTGCAAAATTATTGTTTCTCTGGTGGGATTTGAATGAAGGACTCCTATTCTGCTAACTTGTTGATGTTACCTTTTAGGAGAAATTTTTAAAAATTTACTTTTCTAGATTTTAACTTCAATTTTGTCACTTACAACTAATTATACCTTTTAAAACTGACAGTTTTGATTGAGAATGAGTGAATGAATGAGTAGTTATTTAATATTTTCACCTCAGGCATGCTGATATAGCTCAACATCAAATAATATTTTATCCATCTAAATATATTTATTTTTATCAAGGGAATTCTGAAGATTAATGTATTGAAAACCTAAACTGGAAAGAATGGTGCACACCTATAATGCCTGTAATTACAGCTACACAGAAGGCTGAGGCAAGAAGATTGCAAGTTGAAGACCAGCCTGGCCATACTTAGTGAGACCTTTCTCAACAAAACAAAAGACTGGAAGGTAGTTCAGTGGGAGAGTGCTTGCTTAGAATGTGTGAAGCTTGGGGTTCTAGCCCCAGTACACCAAAAAAAAAAAATAAAATAAAAAGAAATGATAATAAAATAAAATGCAGAAGTTTAAAGAACTCAAGCAGAGAAAATAAGTTCAGCACTGGTATTTTTTGTGCCAAATACAGAAGTTGAAAGTGTAGTAATTGCTCAGAATAATTAGTGAGACATGTATATATATATATATATATATATATATATATATATATATATATATATTTCTATTGAAATGTTATGAGTTTTGTATTTTTTTTCCATTATAACATAAATGATAAAAAAATTTGAGGAAAAGAAGTCCGTGATGAGACACATACCTAGTATAGATTTGGCCCTAGGCCCCAGCATCAGAAATCAAAAAGCAATATGAAAACAATGCCCCCAAAACCAAAAAAGCAAAAGCAAATCAATAAAAAAGATATAATCCTAAGATTCAGAAGCCTAATATTTAAAAAGAAATTAAAATCTAAGATTCTCTTAAGAAAATGTTTGTGTTTAAAATGGAAACCAGTTAAGTGCATGAACGGTTAGAATTCTGTCCCTCCAGATCTTATAGAATATGTGAACAAGCTTTTAGAGGCACTTGGAAATGGACAAACTAAATGACACAGTTAGAAGTCCCTATTGTTCTTCAACAGAAGCCCAAGTGTCCTATATTCTGGAGGTGTGTGATGAGATAAATTGATTTCAAAATAGCCTGTGTGTGAGAATTTCCTGTTCAACCTTAAGTGACACATTGATGAGAAATCTACTTTTTCCATTCTTGACTCACTCTGAGCCTTCAGAGGGCAATCTGTGAAGATCACAGATATTGTTTGTTCTTATCCTGGACTTAGGTCATTCAATTTCACCTTTTCTTACTCAGCTATGGCAGACCTCCTTATGTGAGTAACCAGGTCTTCCCAATAAAGGATGCATGACTTTCTGGCAACACAAGGTATGTGTTGCTACTCTCCTGTCTCTGCTAGCCCACCTCAGATAGAGGGGGGTTGCAAATACTAGACATGCTGCACCTGAAGTACAAGTCATAGACAATAAGATCAAAGTACTGCATCCATGTCTTAAATAGGTTGAGGAAAATTCTTACAATATGAAATACATTGGAGGATTTATTAAAGGTTTCTAATTATTACCTAATTAATCAAGTGCGTCCACATATATTGGGGTTTGTTAATCAATATGATTTAAAATGAAACCCAGGGGCATTGAAACAATAGACCATTAATTTTTTAATATTATAATCAGTAAGCTTTGAATATTTGAAAAATAACATTAATTTATATTTAGCTCAGCCATCATAGAGTCTTAACAGAAATTTCTATGAATGGTGAAAGCCAAATGTAAGTCATCAGATACTTACTTAGATGGTAAATAACTGTAGTTTATGCTTTCAATAAAAATCCGGATGAGCTAGATTAAACAAACTACTAAACTTAATAAAGACTTCTAAACAATTAATCAATAAATATATATCAAACTGATATATAAGATCCTTGTATAAAGGTTTCTTATACATGGCATAGCTGATATGATTTATAAACAATGACAGCAATTATGACTTAAATAGTAGTTTAAATAGCTAACATTTATGGAAATTTTAAGTGCCAGATTGTGTTAAGTGTTTTACATGCATTATATTTTATATATTCATATTTGAATTTTAGAAGAGTAAACTTGGTTATTGGTAATTATAAAATTACTTTATCTGCATTATTCTAATTACTTATACAACTAAAGTAACCCTCACTGATTTTCATGACCATAGACTATCTGGAAGTTTCAACTTACAATGAAAGCTCTATACTTTATCATTTCATGATCTCATAGCCAATTATTTCCATAAAATAAGTATTAAAATTACTTTTGTAGTCTTTTTAATATTGTTTATGTCATGCATATGTTTATAATGTCAGAGAACATTTTTCAACATATACAATATCCTTAATTTTTAGTAATTTCCTAATAACTTCTCAATTATTCAAAATAAGACTATCTAATACTTCTAATCTATTTTAGTACATACATATAAGCCACTAAATAAAGGTAGGACAGTGCAAGAAATTAAGATGTGTCTACTTTTCAATTCTCTGTTTAAACAGTTTTAAACCTCATTGGATGTCAATTTTTTATAAAGTCAACATACACTTTCTTCTATTACAGCATTGTAATTGTTCATGCCAATATATTCTTCATGACCTTAAATTATTTCTGTGGAAACCAACTTTATTAAAGATATCCTTATTCATAAGCATCTTAATTTATCACTAATTTATTGTTTGATGCCCCACCAATAATATTTTGTCAAAAGTAGAGGATCCTTAAAATATTACCCAATTTAACCATAAGTTTTAATGTTTAATTCTCTAGGGAAAGATTTACCATTTTCAAAAGCAAAGTGAGCACCAAAGCTTGCTCCTCACCCCGCCCATTGACTGCATTAAGGGTCTCATCACCACATATGCCATTAGTTAAGCACAATTATCAGAGCACGGTCCTTGACATCAACTCAGCTACAGAAATGAGTAATCAAGGAGTGATCTACACAGAACTGAATCTTGGTAAGAACTCAAAGAAGCAGCGAAGAAAATATAAGGACATTAAAAGCTCCATTTCAGTAACTGAGGAGGAAATAACCTATGCAGATTTAAATCTTCGAAATTCTTCTCAGGAACATCCAGGGGATGACAAGGACAACCACTGCAAAGGTAAAATTTGTAATCAATCCTCAGTGTCTAGCTGTTCTAGGATGTGTATGTAGTTGGGGTGCAGATGTGTGGGTAGGAAGTAGGGAATAAACTCTCATATTTGTGAGGATAGGAGTTCTAACTTGAGCCGTTTCTCTATTTTAAAATATGAAGACTAGCTTTTGTCACATTGTTGAAGTTTCTAGTCCTTGATAAAGAACTTCTGGAGCATTGTGTTCACTGAAAATGTGATGGTGTATTCTAAAGAAAGATTACAGTGGTAGATGTGAAATTGGGTCCAAGTTTATCTTTACGATTCCCAGTGTATAGTGTTTCTCTTGTATATGAACCTTCTGAACAGCTATCTGCATCCTCCTTTCTCTGTGCTACTATTTCTCCTCTGCAGAGTTTCCATCACCTCCAGAGAAGCTCACTGCTGGGATCCTGGGAATCACCTGCTTTGTATTAATGGTCACTGTGGTGGTGATGATTACAGTTGTTATTCCATGTAAGAATATTTTTGGAAGATTATAAGGGAAGTTTTCACTAATCATTGGAAGGTCCTCTATATATTTCATTTCAGGGAACAGAACTTTCCTTTTAATATTTAGACTAAATGTGAAGTGGTTATTCTGAATTTTTCAAAAATATAACTGAAGGATTGCAGTAAGTATTTTAAATTATGTTTATCTATTGTGATTTTGTAACTCAAAAACATACTTTAGGAGACTGGGAAGTTTCACTGAGAAATATAAGTTGTGTTCTGAAAGTGGTTATGCTAAATATTGTACTGAAAGAGATGGTGATGTTAGGTTTTCATTGAAATAATTTTTTTTCTTTATTGATTTTCTTTTAAAAATCAATTTGAGTCTACATTATTCTCATTCTAAATAATACATATATTTTACACTAAGAAACTAAAATGATTATGATGTATTTGGATATTAATTTTTATAAGATCTATTTTAACTTTTCTAGCTACTGTAATACAGGAGGAGAATAATTCTTCCCTGATAGGAACCCAGAAAGGTACATAATGATTTTCAAAGTTCTGATATATTTGTATATATTATGTTTTTCTATGTGACTAAAGCCATGCAAAGATGGTAATCAATTTCTTGGGGGAAAATACATCTAGAAAAATTGGCACTAAATTCCCATAAATAAAGATTATAGGAGGACATTTCTTTTTGTCCAGACAATAAGATGAAATTTCAATTTAAAATAAATATATAATCTTTTGGCCTAATGGCTCCAATTTCCTAATTTTGGTATATTACATGGCATAAACTAATTTTATATTCTAGAAAAAGAAGTGTTCAGTGATCTTTAAGAGTCTCATGTGAGGTTTTTCTCTTTGTTTGCTTTCTATGGGCACATCCATGGGATGAGAGGCTGGTCCTTTTCCGTGTTTGTGTATATAAGTATATTTTTGGTTTAATATGTAACAGCCCAAGGGGTACATAGGTATGTTGTATACATTTTTTTATGTACACAAATATGTAAATTCTAATTTTAAAAAAATTTACCTCATTTCTGAATAAAAATTCATGAAAATCTTCCTTCAGCATATCATTGTAGACGTTGTCCAAAGGAATGGTTAACATATTCGAATAACTGTTACTACATTAGCATAGAAAAAGTGACTTGGAATGAGAGTTTGGTGTCCTGTGCTTCTAAGAACTCTAATCTGCTTTATATAGACAATGAAGAAGAAATGGTAAGGTTTTAAATGTTTCATTCTATTAAAAGCTTTTTCATGGGCAATATTATATTTATAGAATTCATTCATATTCTTGTACATATTTGCCAGGTATTTACAAGTCTGAATAATATTTCATTATTTGGCTCTATGATTTTATCTTTATTTGTATGCTTTAATATACATTTGTTTATTTCCTTTTTATGAAAAGTCATGCTCATAAAAATTTTATCCTTTCATTCTGAAATAAACTTTACTATTTAATTTTATTTCACATAAAGAAAACTAAACATCTCTTGATTGTGCAGATTGATTGCAAAGGGACTAGACTGAGGTAATTACAGTCAGATCACTAGATAAAAAGGTTCCAATTCCCACCTGTCCCACCCTTGCATATGTGCTCAACATTCTGGTTCCTGCCTAAACCACTATCTTGGCTTCTGCTATGATAAATTCGCTTTGCCTGTTTTTGAACTTTACATGAATGCAATCATAACTATGCATTTTAATTTTTTCCCGTTTCAATCTTATATGGTATTTGGGTGATTTATCCATCTTATTACATTTACCTGTAGTTTTCTAATTTTCACTACTGTATTATGTGGATATAACATTTAAAAATCCATTCCAATAACTGATCTCTGGATGGGAGCGGTGAGTCTCATGCCCCCAGGGACAAACAGACTTCCAAGGTGGAGCATTTGTACTCATGGAATTCCTTTTTCTGAATCCCCTCACGCTGTTGATGGATATTCTGAAAGATCATCTTCACCAATGGTTTCTACTGTGTCAGGTCCTGCTAGTGGGAGTTCCTTTCACACAGAGGAGCTTACAAGAGCTACCTCTTATTGCTAGGTTGGGTAGGGAGCCAGCATGCAAGGGGCACTTTCTTCTTTTGGATAAGGGATTTAAGTATTAGGGTCCTTTGTGGTTCCCTAATACTACACTGTCAAACCATTTTTACCTCTTTCTTTCCATCTTTCAGAATTCTTTTTTGTTCCTGTCTTTCACTAATCCCATAATTTATAGTTGTATTATCATGTAGCAGCAGAGAGACACAAATCAATGCCACCTTCACCGAACTATCAGCATTTCACAAATACAGAAACAGATAACAGTAGAGACTTAAAAAAATGGTGTGGTGCATAGAACACCTGATTTTTGGCTTCCATGTAATTTATTTCTTCAGTGTAAACCCTTAATTTCCTTCTAAAACTCACACTCTGAGGAACATAGTGGAAAAATACATTGATTTAGTCACAGCCTCTGGATAATTAAATATATAGTATCTGGAAACTTATTTAAATTCTTGCTATGTTTATTTTGTTAACATGTGTAACAGAATACATGAATCACAGTATTCCTTATTCACAAAAATAGCATGTGGTTATTAAATAAAGAGTTAATTTTAAAGTTCAAAAATGTTCAATTATGAACATTTATGCAAGGTTTTCAACAATACAAAAAGTGGGTTTATTGTTTATCCAATTAATTGGTTGGGAACATTAAGGTACTATGACATAATGTACTATTTTTAAAAGTAATGAAACCTTTCACACTGATTATTTAAATAAAAATTCTGTTTTCTGGCAGTCTTTTCTACATTCCCTCTCACTTCTGTCATGGGTTGGAGTCTTTCGTAAGAGCAAGGATCATCCATGGGAATTGATAAATGGCTCAACTTTCAAATTAAAGTAAGTTTTTTTTTTTTAATTATGCTACATCTAAAAAAATTTATGTTCAAAAGAATAGTATTAATAATTTGACTTATAAACATGTAAAAAAATTGCAAATTAGTGAAATGTTGACATAAATATTAAAGAATGGATTGTCTTTATAATTACTAGATTTTACTAAAATTATATGAAAATGTCATCCATTTTAGTATTGTTTTTTACAATTATAAGAAAAATGCTTTCACTTAATAGATTTTTTTTTCTATAAAATATAACTGAATTCTGCACTTTTCATCATTACAGGGTAAAGGAATCATCAGATGATGAACGTAACTGTGCTATGCTGTACTCATCTGAGCTTAAATCAGACAGTTGCGAATCTTCAAATACATACAATTGTAAACATAAGCTTTAACATTAATACACCTAAATCTGAAGTCTGTCAGGTAATTTTGTATTTCATGAAGTGGAAGTAATATTAGGATTGCTTTAGTCTTAGAGTGGAATTATATCATTTGTTCTAATAACAAAAATTTTCAAAAACAATTATTGAATTCTAATATATGCCAAAAATAAAAATAATACTTTGTGTCTGTCTTTTTTTACTCAATATTCTATTCATGATATTCAACCTTTCTAAAAGATTCCATGTTACCTGAGTCCATTTCTGTGAAATGCCAAAAACAGACAAACCTGTGGAAACAGTGTGGACTAGTGGTTACCGAGGGCTAAGATTATGACGCAATGGAACTTGACCACTACTAAGTATGTGTTTTTTTTCGGAGTGATGGAAATTGTTTAGATTTCTGATAGCAGTGATGATTGTAGCTAAGTGAATATACTAAAAATCACTGATTTATAGAATTTAACAGTATGAATTTTATGCTGGGTACTTCAATGATGCTGTTAAAACATTTTTTTCCAGAATTATCTTTGAGATTGCATTGACTCAGGTAAAGTTTAGTCATCCTTATAATATTGACTTTTCCAGTAAATATCATGCTATGTTCTTCAACAAATTAGGGTTATTTAATTTTTCTTGATCACATGTTCTTTTGATATTAGTCTTACAGAAATTTAAGTATTCACAATAATGGTTTTGTAAATGACATCCTTATTTTTAAATGTAAATTGTTTTTAGTAATTTTTGTTGCTGTGAATAAAATTATAATTGATGTTTGCATGTTGATCTTACATCCAATGCTTCACTGATTTTATGTATTAATGCTATCATTCAAATATAGATTATTATGTATTTTCTCTGTAAACTACTGCTTTATATATAAATAATCACACTTCTATTTTCTTTCCAAGTGCAATTGCTTGATTTTCAAGGTTCTATTTATATTACGTGTATCATTTCCTACTCTAGAAAAAAATTTCAACATTTCATCTGATTTATGAATTTTTATCACAACTTCTCCAATAGATACAGTTCTGTAATATTCTTATTCTTCTATTAGACTTTGTTATCAAGTGATTTATTATTATTATTTTTTGTATCAATTGGAATGATGTTTTCTCTGTATGGTGTTTATGAAAAAATTACCTATATCTTTCTAAAATATTAAATAATCTTGAATTTATGAAATAAAATTGGTGTTAGTGGACCATGAACTGAATCTCTGAAACTATGAGCCAAAATAAATATTTCCTCTTCCAAGTAATTTTTGCCAGGTATTTCATAATGAAATATGTCCATGATGAAAGCTGACTGACTCATGATACCATATGTATTTGTAGAATTAGTCTTTAGAATGGTTTATATAACAGATTAAATTTCTTTAATGAATTTATTTAATATATAGTTTTGCTCAGCTATTTGTTATACTAAAATTTTAAATAGGTATTTTGTAGGAATTTTCTATTTCCTATAGATGTTAAAATATATTCTTACATGAGGATGGAAACTCTGCTTATTTATGCAATCCAAATGAGTGATATGTTTTTTTTCCCATCCTTTCACTTTAAGTTTGTGAATGTCTTTGCCTATGAAATGAATCTCTTGGAGAGTGTTTATTGTTGGATCTTTTTTTTTACTTATTCTAATTTGTCATATATGACAGCAGAATGCATTTCAATTCATATTACACATATAGAGCACAATTTTTCATGTCTCTGGTGTACACAAAGTAGTCACACCATTCGTGTCTTTATACAGGTACTGTCCATCTCATTCCACTGTCTTTTCTACATCATGCCCCTTCCCTTCCCTTCCCTTCCCTTCCCTTTGCCCTATCTAAAGTTTGCCTGTTCCTCACATGGCCCTTCATCCCCATTATGAATCAGCAGAAAACATATCAGAGACAACATTTGGCATTTAGTTTTGGGGATTGGCTTACTTCACTTAGGATTCATTCATTTACCTGCAAATGCCATGATTTTAATCTCTTTTACTGTTGAATAATATTCCATTGTGTATATATATTACATTTTCTTTATCCATTCATCTACTGAAGGGCATCTAGGTTGGCTCCACAGTTTAGGTTTTGTGAATTGTGCTGCTATAAACATTGATGTGGCTGTGTCCCTGTAGTATACCTTTGGGTATAGAGGGAGGAGAGGGATAGCTGGGTCAAATGGTTGTTCCATTCTCAGTTTTCCAAGGAATCTCCGTACTGCTTTCCAAATTGGCTATACCAATTTGCAGTCCCACCAGCAATGTGTGAGTGTGCCTTTTCCCCCACATCCTTTCGAATACTTATTGTTGTTTGTATGCATAATAGCTGCCATTCTGACTGGAGTGAGATGAAATCTTAGAGGAGTTTTGATTTGCATTTCTCTAATTGCTAGAGATGTTGAATATTTGTTGATTGATTATATATTACTTCTGAGAAGTGTCTGTTCAGTTCCTTAGCTGATTTATTGATTGGGTTATTATTATTATTTTTTTTGGTGTTAAGTTTTTTGAGTTCTTTATATATCCTAGAGATTAGTGCTATATCTGATGTGTGTGTAGTAAAAATTTGCTCCCATTCTGTAGGCTCTCTATTCACCTCACTGATTGTTTCTTTTGCTGAGAAGAAGCTTGTCAGTTTAAATTCATCCCATTTATTGATCTTAATTTTATTTCTTGCACTATAGGAGTCTTGTTAAGGAAGTCAGGGCCTAATTCTACTTTTTCTTCTGTTAGTTGCAGGGTCTCTGGTCTAATTCCTACATCCTTGATCCACTTTGAGTTGAGTTTTGTGCCTGGTGAGAGATAGGGGCTTACTTTCATTTTGTTGCATAGGATTTTCAGTTTTCCCAGCACTATGGTGAAGAGGTTATCTTTTCTCTAATATATGTTTTTGGTGCCTTGTCTAGTATGAGATAACTGTATTTATGTGAAGGGGCTTTTTTTAATCCAATCTGCCAATCTATGTCTTTTGATTGATGAATTTAGGCCATAAGCATTCGAGGTTGATGTGATTTGTATTTCTGGTCATTTTGGTTTATTTCTGGTTTTTAATTTGAATTAGTTTCTCCTTTGATTGAGTATTCTTTTAGTGTAGTTCCTCCCTTTGCTGGTTTTCACTTTTTTTTTTTCATTTTATCCTCATGGAATATTTGGTTAAGAATGTTCTGTAGTGTAGACTTTCTAGTTGTGAATTCTTTTTAACTTGGTTTATTATGGAAGATATTTATTTCATCTTCAAATCTGAAGCAATTTTTCTGGATATTAAATTCTTGGTTGGCATCCATTTCTTTCAGAGCTTGATATATATTATTCCAGGATTCCTAGCTTTGAAGGCCTGGGTTGAGAAATCTGCTGAAATCCGAATTGTTTTCCCCCTATATATAATTTGATATTTTTCTCTCTGGCCTTTAGGATTTAATTCTTATTCTGCATGTTAGTGATTCTCAATATAATACAACTCTGTGGCTGGTCTATTGCCAGCTTTCTTTATCCAAGGTCCAATTCTAGGGTTAATTATCCTTTTCCTGCCTATGCCTCAAATCTTGCACTCTTTGCTTATTAACAAGTGTGAGAAGCTGTTATTATGGTTTTAATATGTTTAATATCTGTAAAACCATAATAGTATTCTCATTTTAATTTAGACATAAAGTATTTAGACATTTCCAAATCTTTTCTTCAACAATGTTTTGTCAATTTTATTATGTCTTTTCAATGAAAGAAACTTTGATTTTATTGATCTTTGCTACTGTAATTTTGTTTTCATGATTTTATACTATTTATTGTTTCTACTTTCTGGTTCATTTGTGTTTAATTTTAGCTTTTCTCTTTTTAGTTTCTTATAACACATGCTCAAAATTCAATTTCTTTTCTTTTTTCTTAATATTGTCTTTAAGTCAATTTTGAAAGAAAAGTTTTTCTGATTATATTTTCCTTTAATTCATATAAAAATTGTGAACATTCATTGTGATCATCTCCTCCTCATCATCCTCTTCTTCCTCCTCCTCCTCCTCCTCCTTCTTTTTCTCTTTTCCCCCTTTGACACTAGGAATCGAACCCGGAGGCACTTTACCTCTAAACTAAATCCCCAGTCCTTTTTTAAAAATTTGAAACAGAGTCTCACTAATTTGCTTAGGGTATCACTAAGTTTCTGAGACTGGCCTTGAATTTGCAATCTTTCTGTCTCAACTTCCCAAGATGCTAGGATTACAGGCATGTGCCATTGTACCTGGCTCACTATGATTTTTTTTTTAGCCCATAAACTACTTAGAAATATATTGCTGAATTAAAAACCGTATAAACCATTAAAAACCATTTTTGGTTATTGGCTTCTTTTTTAGGTAAATAGTACTTAGAATTTTCTGTGAGGCTGAAATGCTCTATTATCTGAATGTTGTTAATATGACTGAGAAACTGATTTTTAAATTTTATTTATTTTTTATTTGAATTCTTATATTTCAAGAATCTACTGGAAAAACTTGAGTAGTGTCTTCTGCATTGGGAGCATAGTTCCATATATTTTTATGTTAATATCCTTAGAAACTTGACAAAATGATGTATTTGGAAAGATTTCATGGGAATTTAAAACATGATTATTTTGTGTTAGTATAAAGTCCATAGCTATGTGCATATGCATATTTTGTTTATTTTATTTTTTAGAGACTGATATATCTCATATGATAAGCAGAAATAGAAAAGTTTTAAATACTCATTAATGATTTTTTTGCCTTTTCAGTTCTTTTTAATCCTATGTCAAACTTGTTAGTTTAGGTATGCATGCATTATTTTTAAAAGTTAATTGTTTGGATAACGAATCTTCCACTTTAAATTATGCTTCTTCACTTCTAATGATTTTTCCCTAATGATAGTTCATTAACTCTCAACAAATTTCTTTTGGTTTGTGCTGCTCTTCCTTCACCTTTTTACTTTCATCTTTCTTTATGCTTCTATTAAAAGACTATCTCACTAAAATAACCAACATAATTTTTTCATTTAAGAACTTTTATTTATGGAGAACATTTTAGTTGCTTGGGGTACATGAAATACATGATACTGACTTTAGGAAGACAAGTATTTATTTTTAAACATAAACACATGTACTTAACTTGGGTATTATTATATTTATAGTTAACATAATTATCACATTATTAAATATATTACATATGGATTTTATTTGTATATATAGATACATTAATATAACTATTAATGTTAATTTAAATTTAACTTAGATTGTATGCAAACATTTTTGTACTCTACTTTTTCTATGATTTTTAAAATAAGTTTTTTATTGTTCAATTTCCACTATACAAGATTATTAATTTTGGGGGGGGTACTAGGGATTGAACCCAGAAGCGCTTAACCACTGAGCCATAACCCCAGGCCTTTTTTAAAAAATAAAATTTATTTTTTATTTGTAGATGAACACAATAACTTTATTCAATTTATTTTTTTATGTGGTACTGAAGATCAAACCCAGTGCCTCACACGTGCTGGGCAAGCACTGTACCACTGAGCCACATACTCAGCCCAACCCCAACCCTTTTTAATTTTTATTTGGAGTCTTTTTAAGTTCCTTAGGGCCTTGCTAAGTTGCTGAAGCTGGCTTTGAACTTGTGATCCTCCTGCCTCAGTTTCCTGAGCTGGAGCTGCTGGGACTATAGGTGTGCACTACAGCCCCTAGCAATTTGATATTTTAAATATTTTTTATTAGCACTCTTCATTTTATAGCATATGTTTACTCATTAAAGTCTGATAAATTAGTAATTTTACTTTTTCTCAGTCAAAACTACCTTTTTATTTTTAATACCTGTATTTTCTTTCTGAAATCTAATGCTGACATATATTTTTAAACTTGAAGTTTGTCATTAGTATTTTATCCATTTAATATCCATTTTGATATATTCACATCATTTCATTTCTTCACCTCCCCTTTTTGTATACCCAAGTTTTTATCAGTAATCAGTGTTTCATGTTTAGAAGATCCTTAAATATTTCTTGTAGGTAGATTGAGTTTGGCATTAATTCTCATCATTTAAAAAATCCTTGAAAATGAATTTATTTTTCAATCATTTAAAATAATATTTTTACTTGTTAGCAACTTCTCCTTTACCCATCTCTCTTAAGACACTAGGTAGTACATTATTAGAATGTACTATAATGTACCATAATATAAGAAATAATATATGAGAAACACACTAACATATATTTATGTTATATACAT